GAGAGAGAGAGAGAGAGAGAGAGAGAGAGAGAGAGAGAGAGAGACGTGCGACAGAAGGAACGAGAAGGAGATAAATCACTGTACAAAAATCATATTAACATTTTCATATTCAACGTTTACAGGTGCGGATCAAATAAAAACGTCAACATTTTCATGCGATATTTAAACTCGGGCAACGTTAAGTTTGTATATCCATTGCCTTTTTTATAATTAAATTAACGTTGGTTCCACAGCACAAAAAACATCAACAGTCAACTCTCTGTAAAACAGGGACGTGCGCTTCGTCGTTCCTTACCCTTTCCTCTGCGATTTTCACGAGGATAACCCTGTCCGTGCTCATAAACTTTCTCTGGATGGCGGTCATCTGAGGGCCTTCCCAGCGGAGAAGAACGCATTTTTCTTTGTCCACGAGCACGTAGGCGAACGCCCCGTACTGAGAGTCTTTAGAATCCGTAAAAAAATACCGGCTAGAAATCATATCACATCATCTAACGGTAAAAGGTTCTCGTTTTTCACGCTACCGTTAGAATAATCGTACATTTAACGTCTCACGCTATATTTCACTCTATCATACAGCGTGGAGGTTATCTTAACACATTTTAATAACTGTCTGACCAAATTCGTTCGAGATCTGATGCTACAAATATAACATTGTTGCAGGAAAACGTGCGCTCACATTGTACGCTTATCATAAGAGAAGTGTCAAGGAAAAAGTCGTGACTAATCGCCTAGAAAGAGAGCACTAGTTTTTACTCTTCTTTTTTTTCATCTTAGAACACATAGATATCTTGTGATTTTATACTCATTTGTAGACCCTAGCATAAAACATGAGCTATACTCCGTAATTGTTACAGATATTGGTCATTATAGTCGTTGAATTACTGGGAATTGAGCTTTCACCTTTATCATATTAAGATTAGTAATAACTTTACTATGGTTAGTTCTATTCCAAATCAATGCCCATAGTTTACCTCTAAACTGCGATCTCAACATATCAAAATCTTCCTCATTTCCAATACTCTGATTGGTCTTCAATCTCTGTTCTTCTTCACTGTCCCTTCTTCTCAGGTCTGGTCTTCCTGCTATGGCACTCCAGACGATGTGGCTCACAATATTATAGTGGAAGAATGACCTAAAATATAGTGACACATTCTGACATTTAATCAACCATAGAATTGATAATTACCCACAGCGCATATATTTACAGGAAAATATATTTAATTGCAATTATATAATATTCAATTTTAATATTAAAACGTAATCATTGTCCTAAATCAGTTTTTGACACTACAGTAAAGATCGATGTCTACGCAACTTACAGAATACAGATCCCTATTCCAGCACATTTTAATACAGCGCATAGCAAAAATATATAAGCCAAAATTAATTTTATCTATCTTAATAAAAACTCACACGATAACAAAAAAGACTAGCCAAATAATACTTGCCAAGTGTAAGGCCCATGCATTATGGCATCATATGCTTGTTCTGGGTTTAGTCCTATCCTATCCATTGAACTATGTAGTCTATATAACTATCCCGAAACCCGAACGAACTTCACGCTGCTTTGTGGCGACGAGAAATAGGTGACTGCCAGTGCGACAACGCTACATATAGCAGAGATGATGTAACGCTGTACAGGTATGCGACAGTATGACTCATCGTCACAATTATACAGATCAATGCGCCACGCGAGTTGCTCATTGGTTGTATCAAGAGCTAATCATACCTTATAAGGTATATAGTTCTCACGTATTCGGCAGCTGTTCATTTGTTTCTTTCAGCCGCCATTTTGTTTAGTAAAAGGGAGTGGCTGGTATTTGGCGTTGCTGTTTATTCCGGGTGTCACTTTCCCCCGGGCGTAGATGGACAAGATGGCGTCGGTAGCGTAGATCATTCTAGATGCTTCAAAGTCCAAATCTTCCACAGAAAGATTCCACAGTCATACTTCCGTGCTAGACATGGCCTTATTTTCCCAACCCTAACCCTAATCCTAACCCTAACCCTAACCCTAACTGTAACCCTGACACTAACCCTAACCCTAACCCTAATCCTAACCCTAACCCTAACCCTAACTGTAACCCTGACACTAACCCTAATCCTAACACAAGTGCAGCCACATCACGTGACCGTCCATCTACGCCTGGGGGAAAGTGTTTCCCGTTTATTCCTGAGTATTATCTAATGTTTATCGGTTATAACTTGAATATATTGAAGGATGAGTGTCAGACAACCCAAGAAACGTTATAGGGAAGGTTTGGATAAACAAACCGGCGACAGATATGACCAGAAGATAAGTTTAATCGGAGGAATTTACCCATATCACGACCTCAGTCATGCAAAGATGATTGATGATCCAAGTTGTCTACCGGTGATATCGTATATGGATATTATAAACTATCTTGTAACCGCGAAAAGTCCGTGTACGATGGAAGAGTTGAAGGCCTATAAGTTTCTTGAAGCCTACAACCAGTTTGTCAATGGATGGGTGAAGGATTTGCACAGTTTGGAGCTCAATGGTCGTTTTCTGGTAACAGCACGGGTAAGCATTCTGTATTGTTCGTTTTGTTATGAGCCTGATATGTATATGTTTCAAAGTAAATAGACAGCTTGTAGTCTTTAAAAAGTTATTAATTATAATTAAATCTCCATCATATATAAGTATGCAATACTGTTTTCAGCTATTACTTTATTCATACGAAGACGACATCACAAATGATCACAGAACATTGTGGTTGAACAAACTAAACAAAACTAAACTGGTACAGTCGCAGTTTATAGCGGAGCTCACTCGCTCGCACTCCTTGATACCACTATACCAGTATTTCTGTACTACTCTACTACTCAATTCCCTGAATGTTATTGCTTCTACGAAAAATTATTGTACAAGAGATTAAGAATAACGGAGTAGTTGTTTGATTCAATAAAATCAGTGCGGTTTTAAACGCAACTGACCGCAAACAACCAATGTTTGTTTCTTTGCTGTTTTGGGGACGTTGACGTAAGATAAGCTTATCGTGGAGGCACCTATCGGGAGCTCCGCTTTTAGGCAGTGCCTAAATCTATATATTTATTCTCTAGTCATGAAACCAAAAATCTTGATCACACAGCGAGTGGTTTTAAAGTGAAAGTTCTATTTGAAAAATAACACATCTTGTCATTTTTCTTTTTAGGTGAGACATTCTCAGAGGATGAACGACAGTTGTTTGAAGCCGTGGGTTATCATCGAGAAAACGGGCATCATAGCTGCTGCTCACTGTGATTGCGTGGCAGGACTGGGTGAAGCGTGTAGTCATGTTGGAGCAACATTATATTTTGTTGAGACGTTATAAGTGCATCCAAGACTGTGACGCAGGAGAAGGCCTACTGGATGCTTCCATCAAGCATAGATAAAGTAAACTACAGCGAAATCTCCCAAATGGACTTTACATCTGCCGAAACGAAGAAACGTCAACTTGACTGTGCGATCAGTGGGTCATGTGTGAAGAAACGGTCAGCCCTGAAACTGCCGGCAGTAGATAAACCAACAGCAGCTGAGATGGACAGTTTCAAAGCACGTCTAGCCAGCAGTAATTGTAGGTACTGCAATACTGGTGGTGACAGCCAAGTACCAGGATAAGTTCATTCCGTCTATGTTACAGGATGGCCAACTACCAGAACCATTGATTAGCTTAAAATATGATAGATTTACAAACATCTGCAGTGATGAGTTAAACGTGAATGTGTAGTGATTTTTGAAAATATGACAGTTACCGAGGAACAAGCCAGGAATGCAGAGCTCATGACCCGCAATCAGAGCAAGTGTAAAGAATGGCACACACTGCGAATGGGGCGAATCACCGCATCGAATATGAAGTCGGCCTGTAACAATCAAATATTGTAACAATGGTCATTTGTATTGGGAAATGCATTTTCGCTCACAGCATCGGTGACAGGTTCAGAATTATTTTGCTGTGGTGGTGGTAGTGATGGAAGTGGTGTAGTAATTGGTAATAGTGGTGTAGTAGTAGTAATTGTATTATTGTGGTAACAAGGTGTTTTATGTTTATGCATAATATGGAGTGATCATCATCAGGAGCGGAGTCAACATAAGCGGGAGCGACCATGTCTAATGAGTTCCAACTAGTGCATCCTTACATGGACCGTGCGTCTGTTGGCCCGTCCAACACAAACTGGGAACTGTGTGCCATATGCCAGGAGGGTAAAGCAGAGTCCCTTGTTTGCCCAGCAAATTCAAAACGCCCAAATATAGGGAGTGCGTACAAGACACTGGCCGGGAATCTGATGCAGTTTGGAGAACTGGGCTTATTACCCGTAACGCTGCAGATTGATGGACTTGATGAAGGAGAGGGCATCGAGGCCACATTGGTTGCTCACAAAGCTGTATATCATAAACGATGCATGCTTCGTTATAATACTACAAAGTTGCAAAGAGCACAGAAGAGGCCAGCAGGAGGCAGCTCATCTGGTGTAGGCAATGCCCGTGCCAGGAAAGTGCAGCAGGTCACGCCGTGGAGAATCAAGTACCTCTAGTCAAACCTCATGCTTCTCTGCGGAATGTCTGGTGTGTACACCTAACATGAAGCCACCACCTTCAAGATTGATCAGCGTGTGCGGCAGTGTGCAACACAAATTGGAGACCACGAACTGCTGGCACGGCTCAGCATGGGTGATATGCGGCTCTTGATGCCAAGTATCATTCCAAGTGTTAATGTCTCTCTACAATCGCGCAAGGCCTCTGTCAATGCTGAACACAAAACTGGACATAAAGTGTGGTCTCGGAATTGTCGTGGCAGAACTTGCCCTTTACATTGAAGATACTCACCTGAAAGAGGACACATCTCCTGTATTCAGACTTGCCGACCTAGTAAACCTGTACGCGACCAGAATGGAGCATCTTGGAGTGCCCTTGACACGAGAGTGAATACGACAAGGCTGAAAAACGCCTACTAGCCCAGCTCCAGGCCTACGTGCACAGAGCAAAGGCGAGATGTCGTTTTGGCATTTGATGAGGACATTGCGAGGCACTTTGCAAAGCCTGTGAGTATGACTGTGACAGTAAAGTAGTTTACCTCGCTCGAGCTGCACAGATCGTTCGTCGATACATGTTTGAGGAAGCTAACTCATTCACTGTATCATTCAAGGAAGGCTGCAGGAGGAGGCTGTGCCACCTGTGCTACTTGCAGTGGTAAATATGGTGCTGTATGGATCCAACATCAAGAATCAAATGGATGCTCCTTCAACACAGGCAGCTTCGTCCGTTGCACAACTACTGAAATTCAACGGTGTCAAGTATCAGCAGAAGCAGAAAAGAAGCACTTCTCCTGTGGGTACAAAGACGCAAGAACATCCATGTGCATTGGCCTGATGCTGCACACTGAGACTCGCAAGAGGAGACTAGTGGACAAGCTCTTCAGCCTGGGTCTCAGCATCTCATACGACCGTGTCTTGCGCCTTTCTGCAGAGATGGGAAACCGGGCGTGTCAGCTGTTCCAAACAGAGCAAGTGGTCTGCCCGCCAACCCTGCGTGGTAATGTGTTTACGACCGCAGCTGTGGACATCATCGACCACAATCCTAGTTCCACAACAGCAAAGGATTCGTTCCATGGAACAGGGATCTCTCTCATGCAACACCCAATGTGTGCAGATGGAGGAGTGGAGCGTGGGATTATCATCACTGGCGAGCTTGCTGTATCAAGGACTGTTGACCATCTACCTAAGTACTACACTGAGGTACCACCCGTTGCTTCCACTGTCAATGGCTTAACAGTACCGGCCACCTCCGTGACTTCTCTAAAACGGGACAGCTTCGCAGAGCATAAGGAGAAAGAGTATGAGTGGCTGGAGAACGTGAGAAGTGCCCTTGAAGTTGGAGATGTTATCACAGACGGAGTCTATCAGAAGACATCATGGGCTGCATACCATGCCAGCCACCAGGAGCCAGGTCAAGCTATCATTACGCGAACTTCACTGCTTCCTCTGTTTCATGAGAGTGCACACACGGTCGCAATGCTCAGACACTCCATGGATGTGGTCAGAAATGCCATTGAGCATCTCAACCCGGGCCAAATGCCTGTTGTGGCTTTCGACCAGCCACTGTTTGCTCTTGCGAAGCAGATACAGTGGAAGTGGCCGAAAACACATGGGGAAGACAAACTGGTGGTGATATTCGGAGGCCTGCATATCGAGATGGCAGCATTAAAGACACTAGGTGACTGGTTGCAGGCCAGCGGGTGGACACATGCACTCGCACAGGCAGAGATAGCTACTGCAGGAACCGCTGACTCCTTTCTTCGGGCCTCGCACGTCACACGTACAAGAAGGGCACACCAGGTCACAGCGGCTGCCTTGTACTCCAACGACGTGCATACGATAAGCACAGCGCCAGTGCAGAAGATGACCATCCTCCCGAGGATTTCGAAGACTGGTGCCATGAGAAAGAGAAGAGCTCTCTCCAGTTTTTGTACTGGGCAACAGTCCTGGACCTGGAGCTTTCCATCCTAATCTACGTGCGATCTGTGAGAGAGGCAGATTTTAGCATGTACTTGGATGCTCTAACTGAGATAGTCCCATGGTTC